CCTAGGGCCTATAGTCGTAGGGACCTTTAAGGCTTTATAAATTATAATACTTTAGTATATGTTGTTTTTCATTTGCCCTTGTCCCTTGTGCAGGTTCACTTTTAATCTAGTTTCGTTCAATCCCCTCTTCTGATGCATTGAACATAAATATCAAGGCAATTATTAATTCATTAGGGTCATTTAGGGCTCATACTCATAGTCATAGGGTCGGTACAAGGATAGAGCGTGGCGAGATTAAGAACTATATGTAGCGTAACACATCGCTTTGCTCTCACAACCATGCTTTCTATCCTTGAGCATAGGGTCTATGTNTAAGCAAGCATGTCATGAGAGAGCATCACATAGCAAAGTGTTGACAAATGCATTGCCATTAGTAAAAATGGCTGGTGTCCTCGGCGACACGTTTAATAGCCAATTAATGCTGAGAGGGTCTATGTCCCCCAGGTATACCGGAACGTACGTACCCTGGTGGCTATCTGATATGGTTAGGGTTAGGGAGTAGGCGTAGGCGACTCCCTATAGACTCGTTAGTGGAGTAGGCGAGGTACGGTCCGGCATATTAGATAGTACCAGGGTACGTTCCGATATATCGAACCGTACCCCCAGGGTACATTCCGATAGTACCCTGGGGGACATAGACCCTCTCAGCATTAATTGGCTATTAAACGTGTCGCCGAGGACACCAGCCATTTTTACCAATGGCAATGCATTTGTCAACACTTTGCTATGTGATGCTCTCTCGTGACGTGCTTGCTCAATCCTACTCCTAGTTTGTAACTCCGGGCCTCATTTTCACAAATGTGCTAAACTAAGCCATGGTGCTTAACTAGGCTTAGGCCGATGTGCTTATCTGTGTTCTCGGTAACACTCTTGGCCCTAGTCTAGAAGACATGTCCCACAAGACTTTATGTCTACAATACAATACACAATGGGCCATGTCTTCTAGACTAGCTCGACACTGTTACCTATTAATAGTACTATTTTATATTTAACTTAAGTCATTTTTCAGCTAACAACGGATCACTAGCTATACATTGGCTTTGTGATAAAGTCAAGTATTTGTCACTAGTGATGGGACAAGCTCTCTTTACGCGAATATTGGAGAGAGGCTACATGACTCAAGATGACTTTCCAAGAAACAGATCCGATAGAGTAACAGAGCAGGATGATAATACAGTCGCACCCACATTTCCAGACTTAAAGGAGTTGCCTCCAGAACTAGGTAAAAAACAACAGTATCACATCAAAAGATCCATTAGCGTGCAGAGTTGAAAACCCATCCTCGACAGGTTAACATTTATGACTGGGTGGAACTTCTTACACACAAGAACTTCTGCATGTCGTGTACAACTTTCTTCTTTTATGGTATCTTTTTCACTGGGGTGAACTAATATATTGCGTTTTTTTGGGAACAATCTAGTACTTTTCTAATTGATATGTGACGAAAACAAGCAGCAGTGCCTGAAATGTCTGGTGATAGTTTCAACAGTGATTTGCATTCAGAATTGAATTAGTATTGCGAATGCATTATCGTGATACCAATCCTTGCAGTCATTTGTTACATGTTGGCTGTGCCACGTCTAATTGCCTGCCCAAAAGTATGGTTACGCAGTCCCCGTGATAGACAGTGCCTAGGGTATGTGCAGGGCTGGATGTATAGCTAGGATTATAGTGAGTGAGTCGGTGCGCTGCACCCTAGCCTATATATATAACTGTGTAAACATGCGGTGCACCATTTCTTTATCAGCGCTGGGGATCCTGTCTCACCTGGGAGCCACTGATCTGTGTCTCGCATCCTGCGTCTGGAATGAACTAGCTGATGATGAGGTGCTCTGGGAAAGGTACGTGCAATATCTAGGTGAGGATAGGTGTGTGGGCATGAGGTTAAGGTTCTATGTGAGCATGGTATTGGGTTTTGGGATGGATGTATTCGGTGTGGGAGATGATGCATTGGGGTAGGATATAATGTATTGGGGGTGGGTGGGTTATTAGGTGGGTGGTGATTAATAAGTGAATCAATCCTACCAATCTTTTATTTAGTAATCTTGTCTAATCTCTCAATACTTGAGGTTATGTATGCTGAACGTTATCCGTGCTGAAGGTTATTCGTGGTGTGTCAGCTCACTGTACACATACGTTATCTGTCAGTAGCTGTTAAGTGACTGACGACAGAATTATGCAGGTTCCATGTCAATTTCTCATGTAGTGATTAAATAATGAAGATCCCTGATGATCCTACAGTAAAAGTTCTAGTGTAATGTGTACATATAGTAAACCAGATAAGACTAAGATAATTTATCATATAATATTATATACATATATATATATCACTGACCTTCTACATCGATTACTAGGTGAGGATATATACATCTATTTTGTGTGTGGGTGTGTGCCTGCATCATTGCATTCATGCATATGGGTCTGTGAGTGTATATTTACTATTCTGATATGTTACTAGTGTATTTGATTATATTCTTTGTTTCTTTAGTATGTGTAGGAATACGTGGCAGTATGTCTCCATATATTGGGATAAAACTACAATGCTGACATGGAAGCAAATCTATCTTCTCCTGGATGAGGGCAGCTTAACTTTCAATGCTGATGCATCAATGGTATGTATTCAGTTTGTCATCATGCTGTTACACATAATGTTACTGTTTATACCAGTATCATACTGCTATGTGTAAACTCCACAGAAAACTACACAATTACTGCATGTAAATAGTTATCAAAGCTCAATTAATTCATTGATTTCTTGTTCAAATTTTTAGGGAATGGCATATTTTTTCAAAAATGGTCTCCTTAAAGACTCACCAGTGGATATTGCAAAGTTCTTTCATTCAACACGGCAGCTGAGCAACAAACAAGTGCGCATCTACTTAGAAGAAAGGTAAGAGTTATTTAAAATTCGTAATAAAGGTGGAAAAGATGGCAGCATGTAACCTCGTAATCAAGTAGAACCATCTCACAATGAGCAGCAAGAGAGATGGAGATTCTTTCATGTGGTTAACAATTTTTAATGTGTTGTTGATAGACGAATTAACTATTTCTGCATGATATCTGATTGGTCAGTCTGTTGTTCTGTTTCTGCTTGGTTAATGAAGTAAAATTTTGAAGTATAAATCATGGTAAAATCTCCATGCTTACTGTTTTAAGCAGACTGTTGATTAGTAGAGCACTGCGTGTTCAGACTCTGCTATTAGCAGTCCTTTCTTGCAGGCCCTATGTACTCGACTACCTGTTAAATATGCAGAGCTATGAGCGAGAGTTCTTGCCCAATGCCTTGCGTAAGCTCTTCGCACGGATAGAAGCCCCAAGTGATAGAGGAAGCTACCTAGCAACTCTGCTGCAGAAATTCTCCAAACGCTTCTGCCAGTGCAATCCCCAGACTGGCCTTCAAACAGGTGCATGTGCTACGTTCACCCAGTCAACACGTTACATGGCTCTATTCTCGTGTTCACAGATAAACTTATGATCAGTGATGTGTTGGGGTAGAAATGATGTGCTAGTTTGCATCGATACATGGATTTTGTACCAGTGCAAACTATGCGATGTCATTAGAAGATGGGTTTGATAATAGTTAATCTTAGCATCTGCCAGAGATAAGAGTTAATCTTGCTTTCTCACAGAGGTAATATTTTAGCTTCGCCCAGAGATAAGAGTTCATTTTAATTTCTTACAGAGCCATGAGTTAATTTTTGCTCCTCATAGAGGAAGGAGCTTATCTTAGCTTCTCTCAAGGTGGCTGTCATGCTGATCTTTTCTCTTTTCCTTCACAGACGACGTCTTCGTTCTCTGCTATTCCCTCATCTTGCTCTCTGTCGATCTGTTCTGCCCGCACGTGAAGAACAAGATGTCGAAGCGAGAATTTATCCGTAATGTGCGCGGCGCAATCCCCAATTCTAACGACGATCTCGCGGGGCACCTCTACGACAACATCTACCTGGTCGGACACATCGCTCCCGGTGATCGATTGTGACACCACGCTGACGAAGGACGCTGACACCATTTACGTCGGTTACTCCATGGTGGGACATAGGTGGCGCTAACGACATGCGGTTGATCATTGGTGTGGAACAGCAGTGTAAAAATGTAATCATAGAGGGCAGCACTGAGCAGTAATAGGCGGGTAAATATAGAATGTGCTTTCCAGAGCGCTCAAAATGAAAGGAAAGGAGTGAGGAGGCTACAGACAAACAGGAAGGTTGAGGTAGGTTAAGTAGAAACCAGGGATTCTTACTGTAAAAACGATGAATACGTTCTTACAGTAAAACGTTGTTATGACACAAGGTATTTTCCTGATGCCTAAAGGAATCGCGAGATAATCCTGATGTCTGCCTCATTAGCTTTTACTTTAACATGTAGATATTACGCATGTTTTTAGAGTAGGTGGTATTTTGTGAGGAGTCTGTTGGTGTACTGAATGCATCTTGAAGTGTGGAGCGAATGTGGTAAAAATAACTTGGAACGTTTTTAGGTTTTATAGTCTGTGCTAAGGAACAACCAGCAAGGTTATACCTAATCACTTACTATAGTTTGTGAACATAAGAGTGAATGCAGATGGAACATAAGAGTGGGAGCTTACAGGAATGTATTGATCCACGAAGCTGGGAATCCAAGCACTTAATGCTACTGCTCAGAACTACAGTTCCCCCTCTAGATGAAATTGCCAGTACAAATTGACTGCAGCAGGGAGTGTAGCCACCAGATAAACCGAGTAAATACAAGGTTTCTACTTCTGACGGCACGTAGCCAGTTACTGTGGTGTGTATACATTATACAGGTAACATAGCGTGATTGCTTTTATAAATCTTTGCATGTGTTGAAGCTCTGGTGTGTTATGCGATCAAATAATACTACTGCAATGTACATACAAAGTGTACATGTTTAGTACACTAGCTCGATAGGTGTTAATTATTTTATAGATGGTACTAGTTGTAATGGTTACCAATATAAGACAGTGTATAGTCAGGAACTGATAATCACGACGAGAGTTCAGTTATGGCTTCTACGCCTACGTATGCATAGAAGAGGTTTCTATTCATTCATGCCAAGTATCTATGAGCCTATCCTCACCAGGGAAAACCCAGTGCAATACACCTACTGTGTGCTTGCGTGCGTGCGCATGTGCCATGTTGCATGGTCGTATTACTTACCTGTACTACACACATCACTCAGCGCGAGACTAGGCTGGGGAAATGTATGCAATTCGTATTCCGTACCAGGTTGTAAATAGCATCATAGTGACTTCGCTGGCAGACAGAGATAGTTGCTTGTAGCATGTGACCCCGTGCGATGACTGCGTTGGTCAATGCGCGGTTATCGTTAAAATGTTTCCATGTTGCAGTTAAAACTATTCGCGGGCATTCCTGCCCGTATTTTGACTCCTTGGGCACATCGCGTGCTGTGGGGAGGTGGGGAGGGGATAGGGCAAAGGGGATGAGCTACAGGTGTCGTCACTGATATATCTCTACTGCTATTATCTAGGAAGCCCTGGGTGAGAGATCAGTGTCAACCCAGTCTGTTGGCACTTTTAGTAATAGTTTGTAGAATTGTCAATCATTCCACCCCATTCCATCCCCCATACACACACATACTACATCTGCGTGCACGCGTAGGCCTACCCCTGCACACGAAATACCGATATCGACACACAGACATGCACAAGCACACGCACCACATCCCCCCATGTACGGGATATGTAAGTGATGTGATTTCTATAGTGTCTGCGTAAACATGTAGATAGAAAGATGCTGGTTGTCGTTTTATAATAGTAAACGCTGCTCAGTGACATGACGTGAGCTGTGTGCACTGCGCATACATGTATGTCAAGAATACATAATAGAGATTATATGTACTATTATGTACTCTTGATGTATGTGCACACACGCGTACATGTGCTCCCAAGATTGCACATTGTGTGCGCGTGTGCGCGAGGAAACTGTGATAGTTGAACTAATAATTGGAGTTATATATATATATATATATATAGTTGTTTAGAACCAGACGTGTTCTAGGTTAGTGGCTATAGTAATCGTTCAATGTTTTGCTTGTTTGCAAACTATTATTTAATTGTTGTCGCATTTCAACCGTTTGTTGTCGATATTATCTTTACTGTCGTAGAGAAATAGGCGCTAGCATTTTCTCAGCGGCTGTCATCGTTACGCGCAGTTGTGGAGCCAGCATACGTACGGGAATGTACACTGCATGTCTGCAATGCCGAACGGATGTAGAAATCATACACATCTGACAGATCTGGTTGTCTTTATTAACTCCTGATGTTGATGTACGTGTTTGTCGAACACGAAAGCACAAGAGCGTTCGTTTCAAATAACCATCTTTCACAGGTATCGATTTTCTATAGCGCGTTGAATCCTTCGCTGTCGTTCAGTAATGCATGAAACGTGCGCGCGCAATTGCTGAGAGAGGAAAGAGAGAAAGAGGGCGAGTCATTGTACCCCGGGTATTGTACACGTACGCCGTCATTACGCAATTGCATTCATGATTACCGCATTTGTAACCAAAATCACGAAAGCTCACTGGGGACGCTGCGTACGGTATTCAGTCAACGCGGACGTAAATATGTCATCATCATGCATGCGAATGTGACCGCCGGCGGTGGTGCGGTCCCGTCGAATTGTCGTAGTCATGACAGCGCGCATCTGTCGCCTGTGATTGGCAGTAGCGGCTAATCGCGTGTCAATTAGGAAATTTCCGTATCACCAAACCGGTGACAGAGACGGTGGGAGGGAGGGAGAGACGGGGAGTAGGAGGCAGGCTGGTAGAAAATGGGGAGGTGGGGTAGGGGGTCAGACAGACAGAGTGAGAGGGAAACAGCGAGAGAATGGGCGGAGGGAGAGCGAGAGAGAAATGCAGACAGTGAGGCTCAGGAAATAGTAGAAATACAGGCCGGGACAGGTAAGGGCAATTTTGTCAGCATGAGGATTTGGGTCTGGGCGCGGGGCAGTGGCGCGGGGAAGGAAGATGGTGCGAATGATCACCGATTGGCGATGAAATATTTCGATAATATTAGACTTACCCCTGCGTTTTACAACTGTATAGATGTCATGCGTTTTGTGCCATCGTTAGGATATCGACGCCCCAGAAAGTTTTATATGGTATGAAAAAACCTATTCTCATTTTTTATGGAATGTCTCTATCGGCTTACTGTAAACCCGATGCTACTTAAATTTGCCGTGATTGTTGCTGTCGTTGTTTTACCAATAGAGATTGCTGTGAATAAACCCTTCACCGCTGATGAAAGAGAAAAAACCGCAATTTTTCTTTTGTGTTTTGTTCTCGTCTGTCGTTATAGTTACGAACTCAATAGCAACAATTTCCTTAAAACAACGAGGTGCCAATCAATTAATCAATCAATTAATCCAGTTAAGGCATTGATTATTAGTTAGTTGACATTGCGGTAAAGGAACCAACTTAGCTTGGTAGTCTACCGTTTACACATTTACGAATATCATGGACCTACTTAGGGGTTGAGCCCGACGCAAACAAGACATCTATTGTCCTATAACAGACCAGGATTTTTATCTCTGTCCTATGTCAATATTATGTCTATCGATATATTATATATGTATTATTTATATATGTATAAATGTATATAAATATATGTATATCTATCCATCTATCTATGCATATTTATCTTTGTCTTCTCTCTTTGTTCGTGTCTTATCTAGACATTTACGTGTGCGTTGGCGCCGACAACAATCTTTTAGATTTCTGTCTGGAATCTGTTAGGAAACCGCAGAATCGTTCAGTGTTCGCACGTACTTCCCGTTTTGTTGTCATTCAAGTACCCCCACCCCCTCTCTCTCTCTCTCTCTCTCTCTCTCTCTCTCTCTCTCTCTCTCTCTCTCTCTCTCTCTCTCTCTCAGTCGCCTCTAGGTTTTCATCTAGTAGTTAATGATTAGGGAAGCTTGGATATTATATAATACATAAGCGTTAAAGATGAGCAGCGGTTGCAAAATGTACTTCTTAAAGGGCTGGCTACCCATATTTATAATTGAAACATTAATTGTAGTGTTTACTCAGATTGTTTAATCAGTTTAATAGACTGTGGACATGTGCTCAATAGGCGCGTTCCAGCACTGGCCGCGAATTTAGCCGGGATGCACCATCCCTGGTTTTTGCATGCGCGATCGGAAATACCGACGATTATTCCAACAAGTGTGAACGCCAATAATTCTCACTTAAATTAATCGCGATCAGCATCAGCCGCCTTCCAGATCGCCACATTTGACTGCGATTATTTGGAATTAGCGCGAATTATTTGCCACCGAGGCGTCGTCCTGTGTGAACGCTCGCGAAATAAGTCCCCGGCTATTTCTATCCCATTATTCCAGACGCGAGGTGAGCATGTGAGCATGCGCAGTGAGCATCATTCCGCAGCAGTGAGCTGCGGCAGTTCGTTGAATAGAATCTTTATCGCTCGGCCGATTAGCCGAGATATTTTTCCGCCTGTGTGAAACAACCGACACAATTATCTCGGTATTTCCATCGCGATTAGCATCGCGGTTTTTCTTGTGTGTGAACACGCCTATTGTCTATTTTCGGAATGGGTTTACGAGGGCAAGATAAATAAGATCACACATACCTAACGTCTCGTACACGTAGATGCTTCCTGTGACGTCGCAAAACAACGTTCGAATCGCAAGGCTTCCAATTACGACACCGCGTCACGCAGGCCTACAATGTCCTGCAGTATGGTAGCCGAAAATGGAAATGAAAATGTATTAGAATAATTAACCAAAGATACCTGTAGCATTCTCGGCTACCGTACTACAGACCGCTGACTCATTGTTTATCTGCTATAGCGACAAAAAGCTTGCTGCTAGCTAGCTCCAAGAAACGGTATTGCTAGGGTTAGAATATAATGACGTTATTGATGTATATTGACGTTAGTCACACAGCCTGGTTGGGTTAGCTGCTAGCCAGTCTGTTAGTGGCGAAACATAAATATGTAGCATTAGCTCGATCTATGCTGTAACAATATAACATGACGAGCTTATATATTATCAGGAGTTAATGAAGACAAACATTGTCTTCATTAACTCCTGATATTATGAAATTCACGAGGCCGGAGTTCACACTCGCTGCGCGCCGCTCGACTGACTGCGTACCTATGGAAGGCCATTACTTCCAAAACCTACCCATTTTAATCGCGCTTTAATCGCGCTTAAAATGTATTTTAAGCGCGATTGAATTCCAGCCAATCAGAACAGTGGTTTTTACATCCGCGATTTAATAGATTTTTAAGCCGCGATTAATCCAGCCAATCAGGAATCAGTGGTTTGTAATCGCGATTAAAATAGATTATTAAGCGCGATTAAATAATAGGTTGTGTGTGTGTGTCGGTGTGTGTGTGTGGCGTGTGCCTGGTGGTGTAGGTCGCAGTGTGTGTGTGGTTGTGTTGTGTGTTGTTGTGTGTGTGTGTCGTGTGTGTGTTGTGTGTGTGTCTGTGTTGTGTGTGTGTGGAATGTGTGGTGTCGTGTATATATATATATATATATATATGATTATATATATATATATATATTGTGTGTGTGCGTGTGTGTGCGCTGTGTGTGTGGCGGTGGTGCGTGGGCGGTTTTAGTTGTGTGTGTGTGTGTGCTGTGTGCGTCGCAGCTTGTCAATCCGTGTTCGGCTGGCACTGGTTGTTGTGGGGTACGTGTGTGTGCCGTGTCTATGTGCTGTGTCTACGGTGCGGTGTGTATGGTGTGTGTGTGTGTGTGCCGGTTGTGTGATCGATGTGTGTGTGCCAGTGTGTGTGTGTGTGTGTGTTATGTATGTGATGTGGGGAGAGGGTTTGGGTGCTGTGAACCATCGTTTCGTTTGTGTGTCAGGTTGGTTATGGAAGGCCGTTGGAACGTTGGATGATCGTCACCATACATTGCATGTGTACCCATCAACCATACACACATATATTGTGCCTCGATTACTCGTCTTACTTACTAGCCTGACGTAGGATGCTTTAATCACGGGGCAGTATATACGTTATAGCATATTAAAGCATATATGCTAAGATAAGTCACAGCATTGACAGTGTTATAACAGTATGGCTATATTGTGATTATTATATTACAAATAATAACAGATAGCAAACGTCTATATAGAACTGACACACGCACCACGCATAATAATAATAATTATAATAATAATAAGTAATAATTGATTTATACTGTGTACATTCGCCTAGTCAATTTACATAAGCATGCGCATGGTTTAGTTGTGATTCATTGCATTGTTCTCTTGATTTTTGATTTGTATAAGTTGACTCATGAAATTATCACGCGCTTACGTTTGCAAACGATCTTGATGTACATGAATAGATACGCGGCCTATAGATAAGTTACGCAAATAACCACACAGCACACACACCACACACACACACCACACACACACACAACACACACACACACACACACACACACACACACACCACCACAAACACAACCACACACACACCACACACACACACACACACCACAAACAAACACCACACACACACACCGAAACACACACACACACACACCACACAGCCTTACAGCCTACACACAACACACACACAACACACACACCAACCACACACACACACATCACACACACCACATTACACACGCACCACACGCGCGCCCACAAAAACCTATACCTATTTCTAATCGCGCTTAAAATCTATTTTAATCGCGATTAAAAACCACTGTTCTGATTTGGCTGCGGATTTAATCCGCTTAAAATCTCCCATTTATAATTCGCGATTAAAAACAATGTTATGAGTTGGCTGGAATTCAATCGCGCTAAAATACATTTTTAGCGCCGATTTAATAATAGGTAGGGCTTTGGCGGTACACTGCCTTCCATAAAATACTGCCTTGCATAAAATAGGTAGGCCTGCCCATAGTACACTGACGTCTCACGCATGAATTGACCGCCACGTGCTTGATTAGCATCGCGAGCACCGCCGTCGGCCGCAGTGCTCAGCGATCAGGGGGTTATTAACGATTAATCACGGCTGAGCATACGGCCGAGGATTTGTCAGCTACGGATGAGGTGAGGCGCAGTGTGGGTAGTGATCGGACGCTATGATAGTAGCAGAGGTAGTGGAAGGTGTCGGGTGCGGTGTAAGCTTCGGCTGTCTTCGTTGTTGGTTTATAGTATAGAGGTGTGTTGTCGTACACAGACTGTAGGTGGCGCATACGAACCTACGATATACCTGCTTCTCTGTGTGCGTGCATCAGCGTCATGCCGACTCAGGTAAGAAGGACACGTTATATAATATGCGCGGGCGTTAGTTTCGTCGTGGGTGTGCGTGCGTCGCGTGCTGTGCTGCGGCGTGCGTGCGTGCCGTCGTGCGTGCGTGTGTGGTTGTGTGTGTGTGTGGTGTGTGTGTGGTGTTGTGTGTGTGTTGCTGTGTGTGTGTGTGTGTGGTGTGTGTGTCACGTTGGAGTGTGTGTGTCGTGGGCCCGGTGTAATGCCGTGTCGATCGTGCTCTTCGTGTGTGTATTAGATATAGTGTGTGATGCCAGAGATGTCCTCCTAAACTACGGACGGTCATGTTTATGCTCGTTGGAATATGAAGCATCATGCAGTTCGCGTTCCACTGATTCATAATTGATTAAAAATTATGGATGCTTTAAAGCTTTTACGCGTATTTGTTCGATAACGATTACTAGTAGGCCCTATACCTACGATAATTTACCAGTGCAATATAGTTATAGAGTATTAGTGCATCACGTGATAAATCGTTTGAAAGATTCCATGGATAACGTGCGCAGGTACTATGCCAAGCAATAGTGCCCGCCTCAGCGGGCACTATGCTTGCGCGACGCAATTTGTTATTTACTAAGCCATTGTGTTCACGTCACGAATCTCTCTGGCGTTCTGGGCGCACGCAAGAGTTAGAATTTAATGGCGGTTGTGGTTTGTTGTCGAGGCGTTTTGTTACATTTGAATGCCACCGGCAAATTTTAGGGAGTATAAGAAGGTTATATGAGATTGAAAAGTAAACAGAAACACTAATTGTATTTCCATACTTTTTTATTTTGTAAAATAACACACAATATACTACTTGCTTGGGTTTCACTAGAAATTCGTTTTGACGTAGACAGTTTAACTTACAATTTGAAATTGTTTCGTTTATAAGAAACTTTGTCTTATTCACTTCATATTTTGCCAAGTAGATATGGCAACTACAGTCATGTGACTGCACTAAAAACGATTAATGCCTGTTGTTGGGGGGCACTTATTGCTGTTCATAGTGTTTGCTTTTGGGAAGAAATAGTGCTTCTCTCCGCTCTGCACTTCGCACCTTCGCTCCAGACAACACTATGAGAGCGATAGTGCCCCCACAACAGGCATTAATATATAAGTAACGCAACTACCGGTTATTTATATTATTATGTTATACCATCACCTTCCCACGCAGGCGCATATAATGTCGTGCCCATCGTAGGGCATGCATGCACCACGCCACGCGCGCAGCTCACGCATGTTAATTAAACCAGTGCAATATAGTTATAGAGTAGTCACGCAACTACCGGTTATTTATATTATTATGTTATGCCATCATTAATGCCATAATTGATATATGCCATCTCTAGCCATTATAAGAATTGACACAATATTGCAATCATCATTTGGTAAGCGTAATTAAGTAATTTGATAATATAGCTGATATAGCCTCCTACCCCCACCTTCCCACGCAGGCGCATAATGTGTGCACGTAGGCGCATGCATGCACCACGCACGCGCGCAGGCACGCACGACGCACACATGCCGACACATTGATTATCAATCGCCACCGCTAAATTTCACGGTTAACCCGCGGTGAAACATGTTGCGCGAATGAATTCGAAGGTAGGTTCTCTTGGAGCGAGAATGTGAGCTCAGACAGCGCTCGACCCTTGCAGATTTCGTGCGATCCGAATTGTTTAACAGTTCAATCATTGTAATTACCAAACAAACAAAGCTTATAGACAGCTCTACTTGGAATTCAAGATTCCATCATTTCCATAGTTTCATTGTTCCCGCATACGGATTTACAGGCCGGGCACCAACTCTCTTTCTCTATCATTCAATGTATAGGCACAACAGACGTGATGCTGAAACCGACCTTCATACAGCTGAGGACGACATCTGATGGAGGATTCTTTGTACGTCTCTGAAATGAACGCCGTGAGAAAGACGTGCAAGCGTCACTGACTACAGTGACGTAACTATAACTGCTGTGACTCCACACGAGGATAAAACAATATTCGGGTCATTGTCCGGAAAAACACACGTCTTTACAACTGATGACAGCGATATAAAAGCCGTCGAAAATGGTAAGCTGCTATCTTAGATGTAATCGTGAGTGATCACTGTGTGTGCATGTCACACGCGTACAGGCAAGTGCATTCATTTAGGTGATTGCCTTCCGAGATATTTCGTTTGACGGCCCAGGTTAAGGTGAACGGCAATCTGTAGGCCCCCCCCCTATCCTTCGCGCTGAGACTTAACTTAAGTTGCTGTCGATCGTGTCACACTTATAGCGAACAACACCCGCAATTTAAATTCAGAACCACAAATATTGTTTCTTTACACAACCTATACAAGCATTATCAGTTGCTAGGCGCACATATAGATCCGTTCAGCTTATTCTCAAGTTATTTTCTCAGTCTTTATTTTGTCGAGGCGTCGTGGAAAAAACACGTTGATAGTTAATTTTACTCTCACGAAGAGCGGCAATATTATGTCAACAACGCAGCAAATATATCACAGCAAGCCTAGACTTGTGCAATAGTCCCCCCCCCTCCATCCCCTCTCTCGCTTCATCCATTGTGATTATAGCAATATTTTGCTCAAAGCCCCGCATGTTGCCTTCATAAGTATAGCAGCAGGGCTTTAGTAATTACGATGCTTCGCGCTGATTATGTGTGCTGGCGAGGTTATTCATACTGCGAGTAATATTGCCTGTCAGCTTGAGCCCAGGTTGCGGGTGTCGCGTCTGTATATTATTATCGCCGTTATATTGAGTTACCATCGTCCGAATCCATCCATTTGCAAATGCCGAGAAGCATTCACATTAATGTCGCCAACCCGAGCATTGCGTAAATATATTATGCTGTTGTTTCCGGTCGCTATACAAGGTCACATAATACACAAACATACTTATACGTGCTCATCGAAAGCGTTCATTAACGCCTTTCTATGGAAAGCCATCCCCTTCAAAAATCATTTTCAAACATTTCAAATACACAATTTTAAATCAATTTTAAACATTTCAAATTAATTAATAAAAATACAAATTACTTTATATTGTTCGAGAAATTTAAATTCAAAATTTAAAATCAATTCACAGAATAACAAATCAATTTATTAACTTGCAATTATTCATTAACGCCTTTCAGCTTACATGTCAGCTGCTGCGTAAATCATCGAGTGCAATTGTTTTTTGTTGGATGATTAACTGGGTTGGTATTAATTGGCCTGAATCGAGTGTTAAATATGGTGGTTACATGGTAATAGAAAACTACCTTTCTGTGTTATATAACTTCTCAGTGATGGGAAAAATATGCTCATGTGACTCATAGGTATATAAATAAACACATGTGTGTGTGTGTGTGTGTGTGTGTGTGTGTGTGTGTGTGTGTGTGTGTGTGTGTGTATGTGTGCGGCGATCGCGTCGCGAGCGGATGCGTTCGGCGTGCTAAGCGAGCGTGCCGTACGTCGCGTGCGTCGCGTGTGTTTGTGTTGTCGCTTAACTGTATGTCACTTTTTATGTTAATTATTTGTGTAGATTAAATCCCGTTATTGTGTAATCAGCTCATTGCACGCGTGATGCCGGTGTACCGAGATCCTGGGCTCAATTGCCAACATCCTTTATATGCACACCGGCCGGCATCCCACATACGTGCCATGCAGACAACCATGCGCCAGG